AAACTCTGCACGATTAGCTACCATAACCTGACCACTCTGTGAATCACCAGCATTTATCTCTTGTTTATATGTGAGCTGACTGTATACAAATATACCATAAGTTAAACCATAACCAAATGGATATAATGGTTGTTTTGTTGTATATCTGTATGTTCTGTCTACCATTGTATAGTTGACTATTGGTGGTACCTTCAAAATATATGCACAAAACTACATTTTTCTCGAATTAAAATCTCGGCATCAAAAGTCTCTTTTGGTGCAAAGTTAACTTTATACCAGTAAGAGGGATATTTGTTATTAAGGGCAAGGGGCTAGATTGATTAGGTGTTAATTTTTGTTACTTTTCATGCCAAAGTTCAGTATATATTCTCCTTAAGTAAGTCTTCACTTACCTGGTCGGCAGAATAAAACCATGTGTAGGGCAATCTTCCGAATTTAGGCATAGTATGATCAGTCATGGCATTTAATAAACCAATACCAGTAGCTTGTCCTGGATAGAAAGCAGCTATAATTGCTGATACTCTTGGATTCATATCAGCCCATGTAATATTGACTGGTCCGGCATTAAAAGTTATTAAAACCACTTTTGCTGATCCACCTGAAGTCAGACAAAACCATTTTATAATCATACAATCATACATTGGGACTTTACACAAAAGAGAAACATTGCAAGGACTTTTGGGATGCATGATGATGGAAGATGGGCAGCATCATTTGGCTCAAAAAAAAACAAAAGAAATGAAAAATAATGTTCAGCACCTGAATAATATGTAAATTAATGTACATGTATGACCAAATATGGTAAACACTTCCTTATATGGATGTCTCTCATATTAGTAAATCTTTCATCATAGTACCGCATGGTCACACTTAGTCACAGATAAGAGATACATTGAACTTACTATATTTTACAGAGTCTTCAATCAACTGAGCCTGATAACCAGGAAGTTCCACATCAGGACGATCATTATACTCAGCTTCTACAGGTGTACCTATAAGAACAGTTTGAATCGGTCCCTGTTAAATTCCTGGTATTAGAATAATCATTACTTGTGGAATTTCAGGCGCGATGTATTCTACCCGAATAAATTGAATCACAGAAAGTTCACAAATAGCCATGGTTGTGAATAACTCTGTTCTATTTATGTTACATACCACAAAGTTTAATTTTAACAGTGTTGTTATCCGCTCATCATAGGATGAACAGGAGATTGGTCTGTAGCCGATCAGTTTGTGCGTAGAAAGTGACTTTAAATAAGTCGCTTTTCCTCACTAATCCAGAAGATCAGCTGGTAGACAGGATCCTCGTATACCTTGTAATTATCCTTGTAAAACACGGGTGGTGGGTGTACAATAGTTATTAAACGAACGCTAGTAGCTTAAGCTGTACATTATTAAAAAATGAACAAACCTAATCCAATACAGATAAAAACAACATCAGCATCAGTTACTGCAGACTTAACATCATCAGCATTATACTGCATACAATGTGTATCATTACAACCATCAGCATAACTTGTTTCATACGATAACATATCAAGTGCTTCGTATGGTGTGGTAACAAAATGTCTGTCTACGGCTGTTGCATAGTCCCCATTTAACAGAGCAGCATTATTAGACATAGGTCCAACGATCTGAAACAAGTAATTCATGACTGCAAATCTCTCCAAATTATATCCACAATGTCTTGGTCTTTGGCTTGCAGATTATGAATAATATTTGTCAGCTTCATCCTTGAGATTGCTATTAGAGAGTGAAAATGTAATGAATTCTATAGACAAAGAAATGGAATTTGAATCTTAAAACTTACAGCAATTTTCTTGTATTTCGTCTGAGCAAAAGGTAACAGTCCATCATTTTTCAATAAAACAAAGGATTTCATAGCGGCTTCTAGAGCTAAATTTCTATGAGCTTCATCTTCTATCACACTAGTTGTTAGATAGTTGTAAGGATTCATTTCTGGTGGATCAAATTCTCCTAACCTCATTCTTGTATAATACAAATGTTTTACCCTCTCTCTTAGTGTATCAATGGTAAGTTTACCTTCCGCTACAGCTTGTGCTGAAAAGTGATTAGCAATCGATATACGTCATGTATTGGTATATTTGGTATAGCTTGCCAAACGCAAATGTTTCCTTAAACACTTTTCCAGGCCACCTAGTGCCCTTTGAGAGTTGACTCCATGATCCGAAACGTTACAGCAATGCGGCCGTGGATGAAACTATACATGCCTTACATTACAATTTGTTAACTGAACGAAGGACTGACCACGTATCCCATTTGATCAAGCGATCAGGAGAATGTTTAAAATCGTAACTACTACTCACGTATATGCATCAGTATTTCATCTTTGTCCCTTGAACCAGAAATTTCTATACAGACACCAGCATTAGCTACAGCTGCTGCACAGTCTATCGAATTGTTAAAATAATGATGATACTTAATGATGTTTTCTACAGCTTCTTCGTCACTGGTAACATAACCTTTAAACCCCCACTCATTACGAAGTATGTTGGTCAGCAGATAATCATTGGCGCAAGCAGGGATACCGTTAATACTGGAAAGACATAATATTCATACCTTTCCGATAAACTTATACACATTAATTGAGAAGCTCAGTACAGAGCAAACTGTACTTCTTCCTACGCAAAAATCAGACATCAAGATTGAGTTTGGGGGTGGTGTTGGTCTATTGTAAGTTTATAAAGTCGGTCTTTTGAACTGCGATCCATATGATTAAAAGGCTCACCTCTATATTATTGTCTACACGACTAACGTTCGTGATGTCAGAAAACGCATAATATGAAAATGCTTTTAACAATGGACTCAAACTCATGGCATAGTTCTGGGCATACCTGTTATAGCTACACATAACAGCTAAAGGTTCGGCACCAAGACAATGTCTAAAGGCTGGTAGAAATGTTGTTCTCCAGTCTCTCATTGTCACCTAAAATTATTCAAAATATATTCTGTTATTGCACTTCTGTGGGCATTCTGGAGCACTGTTCTATTCTTCATAAGGAAGAAACAAAAATATAGAATGCTTACCTTAGAATCAAAAGAAAATCTGGATACAGGAATATTTTCTGGACCACCATGAACATTAAAATGTTTACAAGTTGCACTAGCTCTAACATATCTGGGATGGTCACCTTGTAAACCTTTCACATATCCAGTTGATAATATCCCAGTTAGGTGAGGATCTTCACCGTATGATTCCTACAGAAACAAATTATCTTTTATAATCCTAAATAAAGACTGCAGTTTTGTTTCTTAATAAAAACTTCGTAATTGGCTCATTTCTGGAACTTTCGCAGCAATTCTGGTGTAGTAATTTTACCAATGTTACAATGAATATATTATATTTCAATATTGGTAGGGTCGTTCTTAGGTCAGTTGGAGAAATTCTCTGTCATTTTTTCCAAGGAAGACTTCTAGACTTGTTCTTAATAAGGAAAAGTTTTCACGAGGTATAGTTACTATTAAAATACTTACCTGATTTCTGCCCCATCGTGGATCTCTCATGATATTAATCATTGGTGCAAAACAGCTGACACCAGAATAGGTAATATAGGAATGTTTTTTGATATAAGCATTATGGTTTGCTCTTACAGCTTGTGATATACCTTTAGCCACAGAATATATCAAATCTCGACTGTAAAAATAAATATGATAATTTGAATGGTTTTAAACTATGGTGTCAAATTGGATTAGTGTATTTTTTAATGCATCTTTTATATTTACCTCCAAGCTGCTGCCAGACCTATGGATTGTGGAAAGGCTGTAGCATTCTGGTCAACATCACCATGTAGACATTCTGTATCCCACTGATATGGTCCAATACCAAGTCTATCTATAGCAGGTGCCGGACCGTTGATACCAGCACCTCCTTTAGACATCTGTAAGGTGAGTTCTTGTAGGGTCAATCTTGAAACCAAATCATCCACACGATCATCCCATGATAGAGAGACATTTCGGAAAGGAAAATCCTGGTAGGAGAGTACTACCAATGATAAGAAAATTGTAGCAATATGCATCAAATTCATTGCATTCGTGGTTGCAGATCTTATGCCTTATTCTCTACAATTTCAGTTAAGCCAACTTCAGAGCTCGGTTCAAGTGATTGGTCAGTCACTGGAATTGATTTTAAATTCAATTGAATAGCCAATCAAATTCTTGGATTTTTTGTTTATCTTTGTTAAAGGGATATAGTTATATAATCAATCAACCAATAGCAGATAATTCAACACAAATATTCTGCTATAAAGGCTATTGAACGTACTGTAGTTGTATGTTTAGACCAATTTATATATGGAAATAAGGATAATGCCCCTTAGTGCCCCTATTCAGACAATTACAAATAGTGCTCCGTATTCGACCAACAGTACGTAAATAGTTTAAATAGTAAACAGGGGACGAGGTGAATGTCATAAAATTACTACTGTATCTTTACAAAGTTATAATGAATAATAAAATGGTTCTATCCCTTTAGGTTTCTAGAAAAAAAAGACCGGGTGATTTATTTTATCAGTTGGAGTCTAGGTCAGCTTACACACTGTGAAGGTTCCAGATGTACCAACCCAGCAAGTTCCAAGATTATTACATCGAAGTCCGAAGTTCATGCCAAGCGCCTGCCGAACATTCTGCAGCAAACGTTAGCCTGTAACCTATTTTTATGCACCAAGATCAAAACTAGTCAGCAATGTTACATGCAATGGATTTTACATATATTTCCACCATATGCTTATCGTTGGTGGTACACTCCTACCAGGATTTTCCTTTCCGAAATGTATCCTTATCATGGGATGATCGTGTAGATGATTTGGTTTCAAGATTGACCTTGCAGGAAATGAGTCTCCAGATGTCTAAAGGAGGAGCTGGGGTTAATGGACCAGCACCACCCATTCCAAGACTTGGTATTGGACCATATCAGTGGGATACTGAATGTCTACATGGTGATGTTGGGCAGAATGCTACGGCCTTTCCACAATCCATAGGTCTTGCAGCAACTTGGAGGTAAATGAATTAACATTTATTTTCCTTTTATTTGAAAACTATACTATCTAAAACAAAAATTATCAGTCCGATAACGAAAAGATACGTACAGTAATTCAAATTCATATTTATTTTTACAGTCGAGATTTGATATATTCTGTGGCTAAAGGTATATCACAAGCTGTAAGAGCAAACCATAATGCTTATATCAAAAAACATTCCTATATTACCTATTCTGGTATCAGCTGTTTTGCACCAATGATTAATATCATGAGAGATCCACGATGGGGCAGAAATCAGGTATCTACTACAGTCATCTTTGCCATTTCCAGAAACTTTATCTGAAGAGTCAGATATGATTCATATTCAAGATTTGCCTGAGCATAGCACACAAGATATGTCCCGAACTATGCCTTGTGAAACTTATCAGCACCTGGGAAAGAATATCAGTACAATCTGTATGGTTTGTATGGTACAATCCATTTTACAATCTTACATGAAAAAAATCAAAAAATCATTTACACCTCATTTCAGGCCCATGAATTAGAAATCGATTGTTATGATTTTTATAATGATACGCTAAAAATAATTTGTAATTTAGGAAACGTATGGAGAAGATCCTCACCTAACTGGAATATTATCAACTGGATATGTGAAAGGTTTACAAGGTGATCATCCCAGATATGTTAGAGCTAGTGCAACTTGTAAACATTTTAATGTTCATGGTGGTCCAGAAAATATTCCCGTATCCAGATTCTCTTTTGATTCTAAGGTAAGTATTTAATATTTTTTTGATAAATTTCTATTTTAATGAGTAATAGAACAGTGCCTTCGAATTCCCTCAACACCTCAAAAACAGAATGTATTTTGAATAATTTTAGGTGACAATGAGAGACTGGAGAACAACATTTCTACCAGCCTTTAGACATTGTCTTGGTGCCGAACCTTTAGCTGTTATGTGCAGTTTTAACAGGTACAGTTAAGTTACAACACTCAAATCACTTCTTTGTTTAACTGCTTGTCCTTGAACGATGGTCAGATTATAGCTGATCTGATCAATACGCATCAATTTCTTTTTCTAAATAAAATCAAGTGTAAGTAACATCCCCATACAAATTTTACTCTTGATTTTGCCAAACTTTGAACGAGATTATAATTAACGGAATTGTCTTGCTTGCTTGGATTTTTATCCCAATTTACTCACAGATAATTGGCCCGCTTAAAAGTGTTTCTATTACTATTCCTAGTATAAATGGTGTCCCAGCATGTGCTAATGATTACCTGCTGAACAAAATCTTACGTCAGGAATATGGTTTTAAAGGATATGTAACAAGCGACGAGAAAGCTATAGAAAGAGTTATTACTGAACATCATTATTTTAACAATACGGTAGATTGTGCTGCAGCTGTAGCAAATGCTGGTGTTAGTATTGAGGTTTCCGGTGCTCAACCCATGGACGAGGTCCTCATGCATGTTCGTAAGTTAACTCATATTGTACTACATTGATGGCATAATTTAGTCCCCGTACTTCTGCTTACAATGGCTCCATGGTATTATCCCAGTAGTTTGTGTAGTAATCGGTTTATTGAATGTTGGGATATAAACAGAAATATATTTTCCAGTACCACAGTTTTAACTGTGAATAGATCAAATGCATAGCTTTAGGGGTTTTTTGTGAAGTATTCTGTAAATGAATGCGATTGGAAACATCCCCATATAAGTTGCTTCCATGTGAAGTAAAACATTTCTCTCGATATTCAAAACGTGTTTTGTCGGTAACGACTTATGACACACGTTCTTTCGGTTTGGAATATTGTTTGATAATGAGTGTATACTTCACTTATATGCGTTTCATACTTTTCCATGGTCTAGCACAAGCCGTAGCCG